CATGTATGAAACAATTCCCCCCTCGATCTTGCTAGTTCAGATTGCAGAGTGTTCCCGCTCAAGCATGACTCAAAGCCAGCAAGCTACACGGGTTAGTGATCATGCACGGGTTAGCTCAGTTCAGTCAATCCTCACTCTGTCTCTCTCACACACCTGTACTGCTGCACTTAACATCTGTACTGCTGCACTTTACACCTGTACTGCTGCACTTTACTCCTGAACAGCTGCACTTAACACCTGAAAAGCTGCACTTTACTCCTGAACAGCTGCACTTTACTCCTGAAAAGCTGCACTTTACTCCTGAACAGCTGCACTTTACTCCTGAACAGCTGCACTTTACTCCTGAACAGCTGGACTTTACTCCTGAACAGCTACACTTAACACCTGTACTGCTGCACTTAACACCTGTACAGCGGCACTTTACTCCTGAACAGCTGCACTTTACTCCTGAACAGCTACACTTAACACCTGCACTGCTGCACTAAACACCTGAACAAGTGCACTTAACACCTTTACCCTACTGTGTAACAACTGTTTTGTCAAAGTCTTACACTGTTACACTTAACACCTGTACAGATACACTGAAACACCTGTACTGCTGCACTTAACACCTGTACTGCTGCACTTAACACCTGTACAGTTACACTAACACACCTGTACAATTACACTGAAACACCTGTACAATTACACTTACACACCTGTACAATTACACTGAAACACCTGTACAATTACACTGAAACACCTGTACAATTACACTTACACACCTGTACAATTACACTTAACACCTGTACTGCTGCACTTAACACCTGTACAGCTGCACTTTACTCCTGAACAGCTGCACTTTACTCCTGAACAGCTGCACGTAACACCTGTACAGTTACACTAGACACCTGTACTGCTGCACTTAACACCTGTACAGTTACACTAAACACCTGAACAAGTGCACTTAACACCTGTACAATTACACTTACACACCTGTACAGATACACTGAAACACCTGTACAGTTACACTTAACACCTGTACAATTACACTGAAACACCTGTACAGTTACACTTAACACCTGTACAATTACACTTACACACCTGTACAATTACACTTAACACCTGTACTGCTGCACTTAACACCTGTACTGCTGCACTTAACACCTGTACTGCTGCACTTAACACCTGTACAGTTACACTTACACACCTGTACAATTACACTTACACACCTGTACAATTACACTTAACACCTGTACTGCTACACTTACACACCTGTACAGTTACCCTGAAACACCTGTACAGTTACACTGAAACACCTGTACTGCTACACTTAACACCTGTACTTCTACAATTACACATCTGTCAGCTACACTTGAACTACAAATTCCAATCTAGAAACATATAACCAAAATATACTTCACCTAAATTCACATTAAAAACATCGTGCATTAAATAAAACAATATACAGTATTTTAAAACTTCCAAAACAAAATTGTTCAACACTCTAGAGGGCAGGGAGAGAGAGAGAGACAGGTGTATGTGATGGCACAAGACAGGACGGAGGACAATCAGGGGAGGCAACACACCTTCAAATGTAGCAATTGGGCACTGATATCTACGACCATGACCTGTAGTGCGTCTATATCTACAACACTGAGGCCATGCACAGAGTCAATGTCCGTGCTCAACCCACATGTATTCTGGAAACGGTAAACAAACACAAGTTAGGAGTTAGTAGCTAGCTAAGCTCTCTGCAGGTACGCCCCTATCACATCTCATACGCATAAAGCGATTATCCAGAAAACTTTGAATTCTGGGACATCTAAACTCGGCAACATGTTTCATTTCTTTCTACAAAGAGAATATTGAAAATTTCAAATATCAAATTTCAAATTATCACAAAAAGAAATTGTGAACAGACTAAAATTAATGAGATAAGGAAGGCACTTCAAACTTTTCTCATCGTCAGCAGAAAATGAGTTTAATAAAAATAGAAACGCTCAGAGGAGAATGATACTTTGTAAGTCATGTCTAGTTTGACGGTTTATTATATTTTTGAAATATCAAATATCACAAAAAGCAGTTGAATGTTATTGATTTTCGTACAGGACTCTGCAGAGAGGTGAAGAAGCATGTTTAAGTTCGGTTTTACATTAACAACTGAACAAAAATTCAAATTCAACAGAACTTCAATAATATACAGAATTTTTCAAATCTGAACAAAACAGAATATTAACAAAACCTTTTAACACAATCAACATAAATTTAACAAAAACAGGATTTAACATAACCAAAATGCAAATGCCTTTTGTAAAACTTCACGATAATGCACAATATGCACATTTTACTAAGAATACACAATCTCAAAATCTAGAAATAAATGTTTTCAAACAGATTCCTCCAAATCTTATGTGTGTATTTTTTCTTTTGCCAAGAATCCCATGTGATGAGAAATAATTCATCGTCAAAATATTTCCCAATTTATTTTTTATTTCATCCAACGAGCTCCAGATCACATGTTCCAAGAAATCATAGAACGGAAAAGTGAATTTCAGTCACATAACATTCATTATTGATTTTATCGGTAAGAAAACAAGAATATGAGCTGGATATTCTTTATTCAATATCTCCCGATTTAGATCGGATTTAGATTTAGATCAGAAAATTTACGATCTTTCAACTCTGTATTTTTTTCTCACCAAAATTATATTCTAATAAGAGCCCCCTTTTTCAAATACGGTATATATGTCCTGGTGAAAGTGCTGAAATCACATGCTCCTAAATCAGCTTTTTAAAACAAACCTATTTGGGGGCGTGGCCTAAAGCTACCAGCACAGTGTTGACAACTGTTTTCATTGGCTAATTTGTTGTTCATCTGTCTCTATCTTGTGCGGTTGTAATACATATACTGTTTCTGCTATTTCTGTTAATCCCAAAAGAATAACAACATTGTATACATTGTTGAATGTGTGAAACAACCATTGATCTTGATATTGTGAATAATTAAAATAACAATTAACAATCGGTACCAGTGTTATATTTCTAACATCCTGTTTGGGTAATAAACCACCAGCTGCCCTTGGTCCCATTCCCCACAGTAAATGACTGTCAGGAATTAATCCCGAGTAAACAACTCAATGCATATTCAGTGTTGTTACTAAGGTGACGTAAGCTGTGGACACGGTAGTCAAATCGAGGAGCAGATGGAAAAAAGACATAATGTATTAAATAATCCGAGGCTGAATCAGGCAGAATGGACATCGGTCCGATCATCGTGACATTTAAATTGGGCAGTATACGTCAAACACCACATTTTAACCCTAGTAAGGGGAATCCCCTCACTGGCGGAAGTTTTTATTTTTTACCTCTCGTTTTTTATCATCTGTTTTACACTATTTCTGTTCTTCAAAAATATTGTTGGTCAAGCATTTGTGATTACGCATCCCCTAAAGTATTAAAATCTGCAAAGTCGCTATGTTGACTTTAGTTGCCCTTTAAGGTACAAATCTTGCATCTATGGTGCCATCTTCCCGAGGCAGGGGAGTTAACTGACTATAAAAGTCCAGTTTCCACCCTTGCCGAACTAGGCTGGAATTATGGAGTTACATTTTGGCTGGACTAACGAGTCTATGCATAGTCCAATCAAAATTGCGCACCGAAATCAAAATCCGGTTCGTAAACTGTCGTGCAGATTTCGATCGATTGCAGGATTTGCAAAGCATGTGCACCGCCAACTCGTTGTCAGCAGATATTTTCCAAATCTTTTCATGTTTTTGATCAAGGTGCTCACGTGATTTGATGCATTTCGCGATTTAAGACCCGTTTCATCACAATATAGATCTTGATTATCGAGCAGATCGTCCTGACTGAGCGCCATCATTTTGTGTGAAGCAAACGCAAGTGATACGAGAGGTGGAATCTGATTGGTCCATAGGAGAGGCTTAAGGGGACATAATTGGTAAAAGCCACTGGTGGCGCAACGTTCGAGCCCAGTAATTCCAGTCTAGTTCGGCAAGGGTGGAAACTGGACTTATAAAGTCAGTTAACTCACTTGCCTCGGGAAGATGCTATGGTGCCTGATTGAGCTGTTACTGGAATACAATAAATATTATAAATATACACTGACGATGTATGTTCCCTGTGTTCCTTTGATAGCACGCTTAAAGCACACTTGTGTCAGCAGAAAGGAATTTGAAGTCATTATTATCATGTGAAGTCCCCAAAGAAAGATAGCAAATAGCTCCCTAATACAGTCTGACAAACAAATGACCGATTTGACATTATTAAATTTGGTATACCTAGAGTGGAACATTTATTTGCTCCAGAGCTCATTGGATGAAATCGTAACGTAGTGCATATATATGTACATATATGAGGTGTGTATAGATATATATATTGGTTGGTGGCTGTCATTATGTTCGAGAGGAAGAAAGTGATAGGCAAGGGGAGGTAATTTCAAAACATGCGAACAGGTTGGAGCGAAGGAAGGCATTCAAAGAGTGAATGAGCTAAATGCAGTCAGTGCAAGCAAATGCTTTTAGTTGGAAATATTGAATAATATTCCACCATTACCAAACCTTTAGTATCTGATCATTGTCACAAATTGACATATCAAGGGAGGTAACTCCATGTGCTATTGTGGTGCACTTGACTAATCTGGGCCCCATTAAACATAGCGACCTCAGCATGACGGCTATCATAAGTCTGTGTTAAAGTACAGGAGTAAGGATAACCTTTGTGATAAGATTGCTTTGTTGAATGGGGCCCAAACCAACCTCAAGCAAAATACTGTTGATTTCCTGGGACATTTTCTTGATAAGTCTATCGAACGAGCTGCACACAGAGATAATGATATATCATTCACCCATCAGAATGAAAGGAATGGGGACGATGCTGATCCTAAAAAAAGCCGATATATATGCATGATGCGATCAAGGTGCTTCTAACCATGCATTCAACATGCAGTGTTGCCATGACAACTTGAGTATTACATGGCACATACAGCCCGTATTGCCCACCTTCTCTCTGCTGATAATCTGCTCGATGTCCTTGATGTCCCCGACTGTCACCTTCTGTGTCTTTAACATCCGTTCTAGCACTGTCAGCCAGTCTCGTAGATCCCCCACGGACTTGTCGAAGTCAGGCCAAGCAGAGGACGGTTGCTTTTCAACATGGCCCACTTTCACTGAAGATGGGAGAATGTCAGTCATTGAGAACACTTCCACACTACCCAGGTTACATTTTGTTATGAAAGAACATATAGCAATTAGGTGAGGTAAAAGGGGCTTAACGTCGCGTTCAAGATTATTGCACTTACAGTGCTAGCCCACCTAGATACCATGCAGCCATTGTGACATGGATATCCCAGTATTCTGACTCCGAGCCGATCAGTCCTTGTTTTATCCCCTGAATGCTGAGTGCCAGGCAGGGTAACAACAAGTACCATCTTCAGGGATGAGAATTGATTTTTTTTTTTAGATGAAACTTATTTGCAATGGAGTGTGGTTCATAACTTGGGGGTGTTTAAGAGGGATGCCATCTTATTTTAACAAATTTGTAGTCACAAAAATTTGCAGAAATTCGCGGATTCGCAGAAGATTCTCACTCCTGCATCTTTTAACATCTTTTGGTATCATGAAGAAGACTCAATTTTGATTCCCAACATTGGTACGAAGTCTGAATCCATGACTGGGTGAATCCCCATGATACAGCAGGAATGTGGCTTGAAGAGCCTTAAGGCTAAACACACTTCCAACACTTGGATATTACACCTAACCAGATGATCCGTCCTAGCCTCCTCACCATGGGCGAGACCCGTGAAGATCCAGGGTAGAATATGTCTTCAGCAACCTGTGCTTGCCGGAAAAGGCAACTATGCTTGTCATCAAAGGTGACTAATGGGATCAGGTGGTCAGACTCGCTGACTTGGTTGATGCATGTCATCCAAATTGCGTGGATCGATGCTCATGATGTCAATCACTGGATTGTCTGGTCCAGACTCGGTTATTTACAGACCGCAGTCATATAGCTAGAATATTGCTGAGGGAGGCATTAAACAGCAAACAAATAAACAAACAAACAAACCTTGAGCGAAAATCTCTTCCACCATTGCCTCCTGGCGTGTCTTCAGGTTGTCGGCGAGGTTGCGGACGTCCTCCCAGTCGGAGTTGAGTTTGTTCATCTGTGCCTGGATGTTGGAGGGCATGTCCCCGCCCTGTTCCACACACTCCTCCACGTACTGGCGGTACATGCGGTTCACGTTGTCAACGTTCACCTGCCGATTCTGTATCGCTGCCTTCGTTGTCTGGCAACGAGAATTGATAAGTAACTCTCAACGTTTACATGGGATGTTAACAGTTTGAAGTGTCTTCAAATATGAGAAAGATTTTCTTGGCTCAAAATTAAATATATAACAGTACTCTGATTTTCTCAAACAAAAAGTAAATATAAGAGTAAACTGATTTCTACTAAAACTGAAAAGTTTAATTTGAAATTATTGTATCACAGGGGCTTGTCAAGGAATTTTGATGAAATTGAAAAAGAATTGCTATGTCTTTTCAGCGACAGAAACAACATTAGCTCAAATGAAACATTCCACGCCTATGCCTTGTCAGCCATAACCAACATCACGACTGTCTCTTTAAAGGGTCAGTAAGTTGTCTGGTCCAGACTCGATTATTTACAGACCGCTGTCATATAGCTGGAATATTGCTGAGTGCGGCATAAAACAAAAAACCAACCAAAGCAACTATTTTAATGGAACCAAGTGCTTTGGAGAATGACCTACCTCAGGGTCTACAATGACGGAGTCGTTGCCGTCTGCTGATGTAGCCGACATGATGGGTCCGGACTGGGTCTCGAGGAGCGTCTTGGTTTCCGTCATCCAGGACTGCAGCTGACATGTTTCTGCCTGGTACAGTCGGAGGCGCCGCAGGTAGGTCTCGATCTCCTGGATCTTGTCGGGAACATCCTTGATTACCTGTGGACAAACACCAGGCTCAGCAACTTCCACTTCAGGATATTGTGCTTGATGACAGTGGGAAGCTACTACATCCCCTCTGCCTATGAAGATCTAATCAAGCAAATACTCTTTTTCAATTAGTACCCAGTCCTCCTGTTCCAACTTTTTAATCATACCTGTATATCTGGCTTCATTACCTGTGTGCCACCTTTGTTATTCTTACTGCACATCTAGCTTCATCCAATTATCTGTGTGCTACTCATTATCTATCACATCTTGTTGTTATTGTTAATGTCACAACATATCATGTATATATATATATACCGTATTCGACCCAATAAGCGCCCAGGGCGCTTAAAATAAAGAAAGAAGGGGTGGGCGCTTATTGGGACCAATTCAGAGTCAAATTGGCGTAAATTCATCAGTAAGCCTTAAGTCACAAATATCAAAAATAAACAGAATACAGTCATGCCCCGCTTATACAGACTTTAAATGTCCAGAAACCTCGGTTCCCGGAGGATTTTCATTTAAAACGAAATAATTACCATATAAATTTCCGGAACCATTGGGGGGCGCTTATTGGGACATGGGCGCTTATTGGGTCATGACTTGGTTGTGGTCACTCCAGCTTGATAACAGTGCAAGACTCTTCATAGAAAAGTTGCTAAATGCAATAAACTAGAAGTTGTTATCATTAGGGCTGTTACGATTCACTCGCATTTTTGGTGATTCGAACCGTATCCATTCATGAATTGAATTCGTTATTCGTGGCCACTAGAATCGAATATTTATGAATATTCAAGCATGTGCAGTTACATACCCTGTACCTAAAAATATCCATAAGAACATATTATATGCCTAGATTTCTTTCAAAGACAACACTGTTATAATAATTAATTTAACAGTTTTGTGGTCACTGGTCATTGTCACATTTGAGCAGATACTAGTACCTGGATAAGTCCAGTATATAAATGTATAATGTATTAATAATTAACAAACCATGTCAGATAATTTATGTTGTAAATGTTTCACTGAATATAACAAATAAGACATTCACTGCTGACTTTTTATTGTATTCGTGAATAAATATTCGTATTCGTTGCCCTATTTTCGTGATAAGGATCGTATTCGCCTCATAGTGTATTCGTTGCAGCCCTAGTTATCATACTATAAAATAATATAAAGTTGTATGTTTTTTATTTAGATAGTAGAAAGACATCATTAATTCGATATAACCTGCAGGGCTTCTGATAATTGCGTTAGCCACTCAGTATTAACATACATGTCGTCATTCACACTGGGAAGTGATAGTTTTCTTTGGGTAGTCAATATATTTTTACTTCCTTTGAGTATTTTTACACCAATAAGCAGACATTTAAAAAAAATACTTCTACTTGAAATGCTGGTTCGTCTGAAAGGATATATTTGCTAATTACACTAATTGTTCTACTGTTGGGGTTTTGAAATTGTTCATGCATATTTGTTCGCACATTGTTAATAGGATAATAGTAATTTAAAAGCTCTGAACTTGTTGACAAAGAACCAAGTTAACAAGCGTTTACTATTACAACCCTAAGCAGAAGTAATACAAAAAATGATGGATCTCAAGTTTTCATACAATACCCTTCTTACAAACAAATTCACTCTACTGAACTTGACATAATAAAAACATTGGATAGTTCTTGAAGCCTTCATAAAATCCCTCTGAAGTCGACTATTGTCAGCAAGACTGGTTCTTTTCACCAAATATAAAGAGTTCTTGTTTCATAAATGTAAAGAGACAACACTCCCCAAACGTACGTCTTATTATTTAGTACTGACACACAAGCTTGTCAGGTTCTTTAAGACTCACCCGAAAGAAGAAAAATGGCAAAATGTATTTCTGGTTTTTAAAATACATAAATACTAAGGCTGGGATGATACACCACCTGTGTGATCCAATACGTATCATGATACCTTGCTCAGAACTGATACGTATCACAATACTTGCATGTGCTCTTATCTGTGACAAATAAGCAAACGTTTTCATAAACAGGATGGCCAAATACCTGGCACACTAATGATTTACTGTTGGCAGTGTCAGGTATGGCACAATGGATGAAAATATTTATGTTTTCACTACTTATTTTCACGAGTAATTAGTGTTTAGTGTAACATTTATTAAAGAATACGGTAAGAAATGTTACTTTTTACTTTGCGTGCGATTGTGATTGATACTTGTATCGAAAATAAAAAAATCGCGACCAACCTATGCATTGCGTTATGGTCCCACTACTAATAAATACTATCAATATTCTGTCCAAACATAAAGGTTGAAGGGAAAACTTCCAGCCCTGAGGTTCTCCTTCAATGCAGCCCTCACTGCACTACTGAATTCCCATCACATAGTCAAAACATTTTCAAAACCACTCTTGCTTGTAGTTACCTCCCCTGATTCAAGCTTGCTTTTCCCGACAAACAACCCAACCCAACCCAAGAACGACAAACAACCCAACCAAAGAACAGGTGAGTTTCATGATACTATATAACCAAGACAGCCAAGTTTGGCAGTTGCCACGGTTACCTACCTTCTTCCATCGACTGTTGAGGTTCTCCAGATCCTTCTGGATGTTCTCGGCGTCCTGGTTGGACAGAGATTCCGTCTTCAACATCTTGATCCCATTCCTGTTGACAGCATCCAGACTCTGTTGTCGAGGTCCAATGTCGTCTTCGCGATCCTGACAACAGAAGCAACAGCCTTAACATTGAGTGAGTGAGTGAGTTGGGGTTAATGCCACTTTGCACAGCATTTGAGCCAAATCATGACATGTCATCTTAATGTGGGAGGAAAACCTGTGAAGTGACGCAGGTCCTAAAATGTTTACCACTTTGGTGGAACCCACGAGTATGGGTATGGTGCCAACAAACCTATAACCCTAACCCAAACATTTCACGAGACGGTCTGTTGAGATACACACCTCTGGTCCATTACAGTGAGTGAGTGAGTGAGTATGGTTTTACGCCACTTTTAGCAATATTCCAGCAATATCATGGCCGGGGACACCAGAAATGGGCTTCACACATTGTACCCATGTCGGGAATCGAACCCGGGTCTTCGGCGTGACGAACGAACGCTTTAACCACTAGGCTACCCGACCGCCCCCTGGTCCATTACATGGACAAAGATGAACATCACACGGTTTGAGAAAGACATTGCAAGTGTATTCTTCAGGAAATCATACAAAACACTGCTGAAAGTTCAGCTGTTAAATCTCACCTTGACCTTCTCGAGCAGGTCCTCGAGATACTCCTCGTCAGGGCGGATCGTGGAGGACAGGATATTCTCCGTCTCGTCGATCCAGAAGAATAGTTCATCCATGTCATCAGTGAACTCGCTTGTCTTCACGCTTCCTTCGTCAATTCTGGTCAAGCATAAACAGACAGGTAAGATACGGAACCAACAGTTCACACCAGCAGCATGTCAGCCGACATTGTGAGTCATTGTTGCTGATAGTTGCTGCTGTATTCATTGAATCTCGGTAACTGTACATTTTTTAACATTTTTTAACAAAGTATTATTTTACTTATAAAGCAATGTTTATGCATGCATGCGTGTGTGTCTGTTTGTACTAGTCTGGACTGATGCCGAAATGGGCTTCACACACCTCCTTGGTGTAGCGGAAGGTCCGGTGTTTGATCCCCGGCCGCATCATACCAAAAGACGTTAAAAGATGGTACTTGTTGTTACCCTGTCTGGCGCTCGGCACTAAGGGGCTAAAACAAGGACTGGTCGGCTCGGAGTCAGTATATTGTGTCTGAGTGGGGTATTCATGTTAAACTGCGGCATGGTATCTCAGTGGGCTAGCACTATAAATCGGCATCAGTCCGGACTAGTACAAGCAGACACACACACACACACGTGCATGCACGTCGCAATATAAGTTCAATAATCTTGGACGCAACGTTAAACCCAATTTCACCTCACCTCACCTTAACCTATGTGAATGTTGTTTTCGGAATTGTACAATGGATGAAGATGTCTTATGATGATGGAAAGGGTTTTGTTGTTTTTATTTACAATGTTCAATCTACATCACAGTGGCCAGCAATAGCTGAGTACTTTCTCCTCAACAAGGTACTATTTACAACGGATCCACCCACCGATCATGTCTCTCTGTGACATCGGTGGAAATAACCCTCCATCGCTGGTTGATGGCGGCCAGCTTGTCTCGGAGTCGGTCAGCATCAGGTGCTGCCGACAGTCGGATGATCTCGTTGCCTGCAGCGTTCATACTGTTGACTGTGCCTTGCTGCAGACGCACACTGTTTTCCAGCTCCTAAACACACAAAAATAGTTGTGTCATTTGAAGATGCAAGCATCCAGGCAATATTGTCAATCCTCACAAGGAGGTAGGGATCGGGGTTAGTGAGTTCACAGGGTTCAAACCAATTTTTGAAAATAACATGGACCCAAATGTAATCAACCCCTCAAATACCTTCATGTCTTTTTGTCAAGTAAACCCTCTACTCTCACACAGAGTGAGTGAGTGAGTATGGTTTTATGCCGCTTTTAGCAATATTACGGTGGGGGACACCAGAAATGGGCTTCACACATTGTACCCATGTCGGGAATCGTACCCGGGTCTTCGGCGTGACGAACGAACGCTTTAACCACTAGGCTACCCGACCACCCCCACTCTCACACAGAAGGTACAGCAATGATGTGTGCAGTATGTGTATGAGGAAAGGTCAAACTCAAATCCTTATTATGTCCTGACAATTCCCAAAGTTGATTACAAATAGTATGTAACATTTTCAAATGGTAACAAGAGCACATTATGCAGGATCACTTGCAATACAAGCACATGTAATATCACTACATCTGAGGCCCAACTTTTTTATTTTTTTTTGTTAACAGATTTAAATTTTGTCGCAAGGTGGGACAAGAGAATGAAAATAATTGCATTGTGCGGCATTATTTCAATCACCTTAAAGTTTGATTTGGATTTCTGTTTTAGTCATACAGTAAACTACGTTTATAACGATCACGCTTTTAACTAACTAACGGATATTATAAACTATTTCTCGGTCCTGTCAATTTGCTGTATATATGTTGTACATTTGGTTATAACAAACTACGTTTATAACGAATAAAATCAGCAGTCCCCTTGAGTTCGTTATAAGCATAGTTTACTGCACACAAATCCTACGTATTTTCTTTATTGTTAAAGCAATCTTTACCATCGCTGGTATTAAAACCATCAGTTCCATAACCAAGAACAACAAATGTCAGGATTAAAGTTCAATATCAAGATAAGACAATGATGTGTTTTTAATTTAAGCCACATGGTCCAAAATATAGAAGTTAACACAGTGAGTTGCAATACTCACAGTATTTCAGTTGTATTTCGGCGACAATATCACCTATGCTAAAAAAAAATCAGTGAAAATTTGTATGATTGCTTACAGTGAAAACCCTGTCACTGGCCTGTATATCGTCAGTCTGCTTGGCGTCGGCCAGTTTGGTCTCAGCACTGTCCAGCCACACTGCCATTTCCTTCATGTCAGTGTGGAACTGGCGCCATTGTTCCATGGCCTTGTTCCACCGGCTGAAACATCCACCATTTACGTTAAACAACACATAAAAATACACAATCACTCCAAGAATATTAGGATGAAACCATGTGAAGTATGGAATCGAAAACATCAGGAATCAGGGAATATATTCTGCAACAAACAAGCCCTAAACAAATAATACATAAGAGTTTGGAATGCAAAGAACATGAAAACATAAGTTACCATGTAGTAATGCGTACCGGTTGATAACAGGTCACATACACATGTACCACCAGTGTCGTCAATATTTACACTATGTCACACTGCATGACACACCTGTGAGTTATAGTCCGTGCATTGTTTGAAAACATTCAGTTCCAGTTCCAATGCCAAACCGTGACAAATCTGACATCAACAAAACTCAACGCCCAACTACAAACTGTTGAACAAACTGGCAGCAGACATCTTGTTGCTGACTTTGATGCCATTTACCAATTGGGAAATCAGAGTTACCTCCCTTGCACTGTCGGGGGAAAAAGATGTGCTGTTGCTGGCGAAACTGGCACAAACACTCAAAGGCACTTTTGAGGCCTAGATGATCATGATAAATACCTCTCTGAATGAGAGAGGGAGATAACAGAAGCCTTTTAAGCACTAGTCCAGCCATATAATGACAGTGACACAAATATAAGGCTTCAAATTTGAATACATTGTAGTGAGCTAGGGTTTTGATTTGATCAATGAACACCATCGCTACCCTCTGCTCTTAATAGAACTGCAAATTAGTTATCACAGGAGTTTGGTTGACCGGGTGTCATTATTAAACAGCAAGTACCGTATTCGACGTAATAAGCGCCCAGGGCGCTCTAAAATCTAGAAATAGGGGGCTCTTATTAGAATATAATTTTGGTGAAAAAAACAGAGTTGAAAGATAAATTTCGTGATTTATGCTGACAGCCTGAAATGTTTATATTCGACAGATATATTTTCCCAGAATTTAATTGCCAATAATAAAGGGTGCATATAACACACGAGTGCGTATTATATGCGAATAGGGGTCGGAAGGGGTGCTAATTGGGATTGTTCACTAGCCAATATATTAGCAAATCTTGCCGTGGGCGCTTATTAGAGCGGGGCGCTTATTACGTCGAATACGGTATACACCAAGTTACATACTTCAGTTACATACAGCTGTCATAGATTGCTGAGTGCGACATTAAACAAACAAACAAACAATTAGAAATGATTGCTGTCGTGTATTTGTGATGATCACTTGCAGTCCCACTATCATTTGCAAAAAAAACCGCACTGCTGAATAAAACGATGTGTATCAGCAAAGGCCATGTGTAAAATTCGACCGTGCACTTAATATTTCCGTACTTTGAAGTTTTTTATCCTCGTCGCCACTGTAGTGTATTTGTAAGACTGTACATCATGCTCAGGTACTTGTACGACCCACACCTAGTCTGGGAGGAACATCAAGCAACAAGACGTCTGAACTGATCGTGAACGATGATTTATTCGTAACTGACCACAGATACATGGTCATGACGTCTCTCCCGATGCTGGGGCATCCGACGTATGACGTAGTAGCGCATGCGCATTGGCGCTCACAATATGTAAACAAACCAAACACAACAATTGTATCGAGAGATTAACTTAAGAGCTCCAGTGAGTGAGGGAGTGTATGGTTTTACACCGCTTTTAGCAATATTCCAGCAATATCACAGGACCCCAGAAATGGGCTTCACACATAGTACCCATATGGGGTGTCGAACCCGGGCCTTCGGCGTGACAAGCAAAAGCTTTAACCACTAGGCTACTGACAGCCCCTTAAGAGCTATAAGGGATAAGAGATCATATGTCACAAATGAATTAATTTTGGATGACGTCATCTTCAATTATTTGCAACAATACCTTGACATGATATCACATGAAGGGCAAGGTCACAAACAATGAAAACAATGGGACGACTGGCTTGAACTCACTATCTGCATGAAGCAAACAACTGAAGAATGTCACCAATATCCATGCCCATATGTGTAATACTACTCATTAGAAGTTAAAGAACACACAATTCTTTCAGTGAGTGAGTGAGTTTGGTTTTACGCAGCTTTAAGCAATATTCCAGCAATATCACGGTGGAGGACACCAGAAATGGGCTTCACACATTGTACCCATGTCAGGAATCAAATCCGGGTCTTCGGCGTGACGAGTGAGCGCTTTAACCACTAGGCTTCCCGACCGCCCCACACAATTCTTTCTTATTACAGTAGTTAATCTGTCATGCCACATATAATACATAGTTCTAATACCCAATGGACCCGTGAAGGTGCAGGATAGAATAGGTCTTCTGCAACCCATGCTTGCCATAAAAGGCGACTATGCTTGTCGTAAGAGGCGACTAACAGGATCGGGTGGTCAGGCTCGCTGACTTGGTTGATGCACGTCATTGTATCCCAATTGTGTGGATCAATGTTCATGATGTCAATCACTGGATTGTCTGGTCCAGATTTGATTATTTACAGACCGCCGTCATATTGCTGGAATATTGCTGATTGCGGCGTTAGACAACTTGATACAAACGAAACAAACAAATACCAAATGATTCATTGTGTATGAATTTTTCCATGTTTTAAATGTCGTTGGAAGTGGACACAGCAACGCAACATTAGATACAAACAAATTACCATACATAGTCCATGGAGGCTGCCCTATGATAAGTCTCTAAGGCAATAATTATTAGAATAAATCATAATTTCCAGATTATGTAAATTATGAGAACAAGTTGTCCCTTAAAAGACTGGAGAGTACTGTCCACATATCTCAACTTAGAGGATAGAATTACTTCACATACGTGGACATTTCTTAAGTTACAGCCTTGGAGCAAGGCTAGCCCTACAACTGCAAGACTGAATGTACACTGTTATACATTGTCGTACATTTCATCCTGCTGGCTTGTCATCTGTCCATCACACTGACAGGTGAGGAGGTCAGCTGGTGCACTAAGTCAGTCAACCTAATCCCAGCCTTGTCCTGACATCACTATACATGTGTCAGATTAGGCTCTGACGTAACCATACATATGTCATACTAAGATTCCAACCACAATTAGGGTCCTTCAGATGACAAGGTAGAACTTGGTGACATGACTCATTGGGTCAGACAGATCATGCAGCGAGGGAGATGGGAGCGTTACTGTTATGACTGGAGTGAGTGAGTGAAAATGGTTTGACACATCATCGGGGCATGATGCCCCACAATCAGCCAGACTGCTGGACCACCAGGTCCCCGTCTTACTCGGCAATGACAGGCAGCAGGTACGAACCAGAGGCCATTTCTGATACATTATTTTCAAAAACCTACATCACCTTACCTTCAAGAACACATTTGTGCTTGCATAGTTATGGAGTGAGTGAGTGAGTGAGTGAGTGAGTATGGTTTTACGTTGCTTTAAGCAATATTCCAGCAATATCATGGCGGGGGACACCAGAAATGGGCTTCACACATTGTAACCATGTTGGGAATCGAACCCGGGTCTTCGGCGTGACAAGCGAACGCTTTAACCACTAGGCTACCCGACCGCCCCGAGTGAGTGAGTGAGTGAGTGAGTGAGTGAGTCTAGTTATGGAATATACTTTTGTTTGTTTGTTTACTTGTTTGCTTGTTTGTTTGTTGTTTTATGCCACACTCAGCAATATCCCAGCTATATAACCATGGCCTGTAGATAACTGAATCTGGACCAGGCAATCCAGTGACTGATGATGTGAACAACAATCCTTGCCATCAGTATACAATGACACACATCAACCAATCACCAAGCTTGACCACCTGATGCATTTGGTCGGCGCTGCTGACCAGCAATACTAGGTTGCTGGGGATCAGTTCAAAATCGGAATCCCCACAGGGTTTGATAAAACTGGATATTTAGGAACTGAATGCCTATCTCATCTCGATCGCACCTGATGTGACATGCATGTGTGGTGAACAACAACCAATTTGCTCTCCGCTTAACAATAATTACCAACGACAATCCTGACCATGAAATGAACCACTCAATTATTTACAGCCATTATCAGTTACATAGTGTAACATGATATACACATGTCTCCCACGCAGCAGTGGGTATGCAATACTATTATCATTACCGTATTAACCGTAATTACTGCAACAGGACCTCATGAGCGAGTAAGTAAGAGGCATTTTACACTGCTTTTACAAATATTCAAGCAATATCACGGCGGGGGACACCAGAAATGGGCCTCACACATTGAACCCATGTGGGGAATCAAACCCGGGCCTTGGGCGTGACGAGCGAACACTTTAACAACTAGGCTACCCCGCCGTCCCTTCAAGCCTGTATCCAGTGGATGCTGGAACAGCTTAGGTAGAGGTAAAATGGGTTTAACCTTGCCTTCAAGATTATTGCTTTGATATAGAGACCTGCATGCATTTGTGTGTGGCTGCTTGTACTTGTCCGGACTTATGCCAATTACCGTATTCAACGTTATAAGTGCCCAGGGCACTCTCAAAATTAGAAATAGGGGGCTCTTATTAGAATATTATTTTGGTGGAAAAAACAGAGTGGAAAGATAAATTTCATGGTTTATGCTAATGGCCTGACTGTTTATATACGACAGATATATTTTTCCAGAATTTAATTGCCCATAATTAAGGGTGCATATAACACATGAGTGCTTATTATACACGAATAAATAAGTCTTGTGTACATTGATCAATCGGAAGGGGTGCTAATTGGGATTGTTCACTTGCTAATATATTATCGCCGTGGGCGCTTATTACGTCAAATACGGTATATTGTGTTGGCCAATGAGATACCATGACTCCAAGCCAACCAGTCCTTGTTTTAGCCCCTAAGTGCAGAATGGCAACAACAAGTATCATTATTGAGTGTCTGTTGGTATGACGTGGCTAGGGATCGAAACTACTGATGCTCTGCTCTCCGGGAGACGCTCTATCCACCAGGCCATGGAGGGGGTCACATACATCAAAACATCCAAGTTGCCAGACAAAATGGGTTCTGAACAACTTG